ATCCAGCATCATCAACAATCTGAACGGGGGTGGGTGCGGGGGAGGGTATGCTTTCAACAGCTACATCGGAAGAGGACTGGATGTTCAAGATGATTTGAACAAGGGGAGCCTTAGCAGAGGGGCCGACGGGGGCGGGCATAACAGGGGCAGGGTGCACCTCAGTCACAGCACCACCGTCTGGAAGGGGGAAGTCAATGAGAGCGGGCCCAATAGAAATGGGTTCGTATTCGTCAACGATAGCGGGTCCGATGGAAATGGGTTCCTCGTTGTCGACGAGTGCGGGTCCGACAGCAATGGGCTCGGGCTCGGCAAGGCCAAGAACTTGGAGAAGCAACTGCTCGAGAGCGGCAGCAGTGGCAGGGTCTGTGCTTGGGCTCTGGATGGCGGCTACGATTTCTTGGATCTCCGGGTTCTCGCTGGCGATGACAGTGGGAGGAATTACACCGGCCGAAGCCACAGCGAACAGAGCGAAAGCAATAAGGAATTTCATATTGATCTGAAAATAAATAAGAAAGTAAGTAATTAAAATATGTAGAAAAAGTACGAAAAGATTGTGGCCACTGTGGGAATCGAACCCACGTCTTCGGCATTCGCGGCCTGACGCTTTAACCACTAAGCTAAACGGCTGATTGACACACCGACGAAAATCTTAACGTCTTTTATCTACACTGTTTTTTAGCATTTGTATTATACATTATTTATAATGTAGATACAAATATTTACGCTAACTATTTTTTTCTACATATTTTAATGTTCAATCTTAAGTGCAAAGATTAGCACTATAAACAATTAAAATTTCTAAAAATTAAGTAATGTTTTACCATAAATATTTTTTTATATTTTATTAGACTATAAATTATTAATTAGACTATAAACAGCTTACAGTAAGTTTATACGTATTGACTTAACACTCTTCTCGCTTGTTCGTTACCGTAAATGTAGATTTTGATTTGTATAGCGCATACCAAGAGAATATTTTCTTTCTATTTCATTAGTAGTAAGCAAAATTTTTCTCTTAACTCTGACGTTATAACCAGAAAATATAATAGTTAATTTTATCCAATGAAACTGTACACGATAACTACTGTAATAAAACTGTTAATTAATTTAAAATATACTGAAAAAAAATATTCAGATAATTTCTTCTGCTTCAGACGAATATAAACTTTAGAGAACTTAACTAGATTATCCTAGTTTATTATATTTCAAGCTTTATTCGATGCTTCTATAAATGGCTTAGGTTAGGATCGAGTTAATCTATTTATTGTAAAAATAGTGATGATTTACGCTAATATTAGATTATGATGAGTCCTTCTACTGTTTATGATTAAAAGTAAAGTGAAACTGTTCTACTTACTTTAGCTCACAAAACAAAATGTAACTATAAATAAGCATTTTTCACTTGAGTTTATATACCAATGTGCTTTATCTTAAAATTTAATTTAATCTCGTAATAGAGATTATTGGATTTCCTGATTACTTCTTTGAGCTAGTTTAGTTGTAAAATAAAATAGATCGCTCGATATATTTTGCACTATTATTTTACATCAGAATAATATTATTTTATTGAATTGATTGAAATTGTGTGTAATTTTTTATTTTTCAAATTATAGATGTGGAAGGAAAGAAAGGTGCCGAACGTACCTAGTGTGGGATAAGGGCAGGAGAAAGAAGACTTACTATGGTGCATGCTAAAAATATACGGCTCTTCAAACTTTGTTTTAAAATGGGACACGTTGAAATTAAAATTTTAAACAGATTATAGTAATTCCTTCATAGTTTCATGACTGTTTCAGTATTTGCATAAATATAAGAAAAGTAAAGAAACTTGATCATCCCCCTTCGGTATGAAGTAATGAATCTTTAAATGTCTTGCAGAGCTTAGAGCTTAGTCATTTGAAATCATTCAATAAACATAAAGAAGAATTTCTATTATGATGTAAAATATTTCTTGTTGGTAAGTTTGAACTATTTTGTCTTTTGTTTTTTATATAGTAATACTATATGTATTACTATATAAAAAATAAACAACATGGCGACTGGCTATAGAGACTGATAAGGTAGATTGTTTCATTGCTTGAAATCCTTCAAATGTGGTGCAACATGATTAGTCGAAGCACAGTTTTGTTCACCATATTCATCGAATACTTTCTACGTACATTTGTTATGATACCTAACCCAGCGTCACAATTATCTTAAAATCACTGTTCTTAAATTCTCGTCTTTAAATTTAATAAGGCGACATCTCTCATAGATAAATTCACCGAAAAATATTATTTGAAAAATATCTTTGAACTCTAAAATTTCTCTCATGCGCTAAGTTTTACGTAACGAGATTTTCGCGGCGTTAGGATATTGGCTGGCCTTGATTCGGTATGACTAAAACATTCCTTGCTTATAATGTGTGATGTCATAACATCATTGATTCAATATAAAAAACAGAATTAATTGACACATCTTGCTTTAAAATTTCGTGTTTCTAGTTCTATGTTTGGGTGTCTGTGATATTTACAGTTACAAGTGAAACATTCATAAACCTAGCTTCCGGCTCATTTGAAAAAGTAAATTTCATTTCAATTAAATTTTAATATTAAATGAATACCAGCAACACACACCAGTGTAGCACTGCTGCCGTGTCAGTGGCAGTGTCTTTGCTAGACTGGTCCAATAGAAATAAAGAATCGTGGATCTTGTTGGCATCGTAGGATGAAAGTAAAGTAAATATGTCCCACTATGTCTATATCCCACTTCTGGCCAAAGGCTTCCTCTGTACGGGGGTATTAGGGCATAGTCCATTACACTGTCCCACTGCGGATTGGCGGACTTCTCTTGGTGGATTCGAAAATGTTTAATTGTTGCTATTTCGAAAATATGCAGGTTTCCTCACAATGTTTTCCTTCGCCGCTGAACACGTGATAAGTCACCACTTAAAATTAACAATTTCATTGGTGTCGGCACTAGGGATCAGAATTCAGTTTCCTCGAGTATATGAATCAAAAGGGAACGCCCGGACATTTAACTATCATTGCTATATTATATCTCTTCTTCGTTCATAGTCGGTGAAAACTGTACTTCAACTCGTTGAACATGATACGGATACAGACGATTGCGTTTCAATATGCGCTGTACTGCACTTCTTACAACTCTTCTAAGCTTTCTTTCAGGATTTTCAGATTCAAAAATTTGGCCTTCGTCTACTTCAACCAGCACTTGCCGTTAACAAACTTTTCTTGGCCTTCTTTAAGGATTTCCAGCTTCAAAGATTCGGCTAAAAACACAATGATCAGGATAGCGATCGCGATATGCACCTTAAATGCTTTTTGATTTCAGCATATTCAGAAGAACTGAATGTATGAGGCATATTGCAAAATATTCGTAAATACTTAGGGCTAGTGTGAGTTGTGATGCTACAGGAGTATTTTTACAGAGTAGTTTTAAATGAATCATTGAGGGGTGAGAGATTCGATACGTCCTAGAGTAGTTTCTTAAACTAGTATCATGTGAGGAGTTGTCAGACCTTTCATCGGGCGCGTCCCCAGTTGACACAGTTGGGAGTTGCATTTAAATTCAATATCTAAAAGTATAGGTATGTATATGTACTGAATAAGTCAGAGGAGATTATAAAAGAGAAAGCAATTATAACTTTTTTGTTTCACTCGATTGCAAACTTGAAGTATGTATAATGTATTTATTAGTTTTGTGGAGTCTCGTAAGGCTCAAGTTTTAGTCACTGGAACTTTATTTCAACTGTTCCATAAAGATTCACTTGAAATAAAATTAAGGTTTTAAAATCGGCGTTAATTGGTAATTTGTGACATTATTTTATATGCTTGTCATTGCCATGCGGAAAATTTTAATTTCAATGTGATGGCAAAATATTTTTTCTTTTATTTTGTGTTTACTTTGCTCAATTTAACTCAATGGGTCATTTATATACTTTTACATTATTTAAATAAGATATTAGATATATACATTCTAAATATCGTTACATTTGTTTTGTTTGTCAATTTAATTATTGCCTATATGTCTAGGAACCCTATATCGTGTGATATGCAATTCAGACAAATAAGAATCTAATTAAAACATCAGATATATATATATATATATAAGATATATATATATATATATATATTGAACTCCAACTTGTCATATAAGCTCGGATGGCTGGCTAGTTAACACACGCATAGAAAGTTTCGGCGAAACATCGTATTCTTCGGATTCTGAGCTAATTTCGCTGTCCCCAAAGTCCGCCGTTTCATTGTGGCCACTACTATAGAACACACTATATACTACAGAAGCCCACGTGAACGACCGTTCGAAGACCGCAGCCTATCACGCGATGTCGCGTGATTGTGATTTGCGATGAACGTGTTAAGATAGGCAGAAGATTTAAACGCAATGACAAATTAACATTGCAGTATCATTCAATAACAATAAATATTAGAAATATGATTCAGGGCTAATTTTATACAAAATCAATCACGAATTACACATTTATAACTTTCGAGTTTAAAATAATTCATCTTAAAAATGTATTCAGGTTTGGGTAACAGGTTCTTATGTATAGACTTTTTTAGGTTTCTGAAATTACAAACTAAATTAATTACTATTTAATTAACGGAGTTATAACAACAGTTATTATAACTTCAATTGATTCAAGTAATTTGATAATAAATCTATCTATTTCCACCTAAGCCGGGTGACGGAAAATATTCAAGTCGAATAGAAAATAATCTCTATTTGAGATTAAATTGTATATATAAATTATATTAGATAAATGTGGGTATATAAACCCAAGAACAAAATGCTTTATACAGTTTACTATTGTCCTGCAAGTAAGTAAATTCATGTCATTTTACCTTTTCAGTGTTTAAATGAAATTGATGCAAATGTATTACGTAATCACACCGATACATAGTTTTGGTCAAGTGTTTTTACCTATATAGGACAATTTTCGTGAAAACTTACTGAATAAACTTCTACTTTATTTTCAGATAGATATGAAATTCCTTATTGCTTTCGCTCTGTTCGCCGTGGCTTCGGCCGGCGTGATTCCTCCCGCTGTCATCGCCAGCGAGAACCCGGAGATCCAGGAAATCGTAGCCGCCATCCAGAGCCCCAGCACAGACCCCGCCACTGCTGCTGCTCTTGAGCAGTTGCTTCTCCAAGTTCTTGGCCTTGCCGAGCCCGAGCCTATTGCTGTCGGACCCGCACTCGTCGACAATGAGGAACCCATTTCCATCGGACCCGCTATCGTTGACGAATACGAACCCATTTCTGTTGGGCCCGCTCTCATTGACTTCCCCCTTCCGGACGGTGGTGCTGTGACTGAGGTGCACCCCGCCCCTGTTATGCCCGCCCCCGTCGGCCCCTCTGCTAAGGCTCCCCTTGTTCAAATCATCTTGAACATCCAGTCCTCTTCCGATGTAGCTGTTGAAAGCATCCCCTCCCCTGCACCCACCCCCGTTCAGATTGTTGATGATGCTGGATTCGTTCCTGAGCCCGTGATTGTAGACAGACCAATTGTTCCCGAATTCGAGACTGTCGAAGAGAAGCCTATTATCCCTACGCCCGTGATCGTGGTCGACAAGCCAGAGGTTCCTGAGTCAGTTATCGTAGTGGACAAGCCCACCGTTTCTGAGCCCATCGTTCCTGAGCCCATCGTTCCTGAGCCCATCGTTCCTGAACCCGTCATTATTGTAGACCAGCCAACCATTCCTGAGCCCGTCATCATTGCTCAACCCATCATCCCCGCTCCCGCTATTGTTCTTCCTGAAATACTTAACTAAGCATAATTGGTGTATAATATCCGAATACTAAAGTATTTACAGGACAAAATTAATCTATGTTACATTTATATACGAGAAATTATGTGAATAACAGATGTTACTAAAATTTTGCCTTTTATTTAGATCACTCCCCTTTTAAACCGACTTCAAAAAAGAAGGAGGTTTTCAATTCGACGGTATTTTGTTGTTTTTTTGTTTGTTATCTCAGAACTTTCGACTGGGTGAACCGATTTTGATGAGTCTTTTTCTTTAAAATTTGGTGCTTTCCATGTGGTTCGAATATTATGATAAAAAGAACTCCTTCGCTTTTTTTCGAACTCCGGCTTACAGTAAGGGTGTAATCCGTTTTCTCATACGAGCAGCGTCTTTGCTAGTGTACCCATATTTTATAATACCTACTAAGTATTAGAATTTAATCACTAAAAATAAATAAAATAAAAACCGACTTCAAAAAACAGTATCCGCACTTAAAAGTTTGATTATATTAAATTTAGTATTAATTTTAAACTTTTTAGTGCTAATAGACTTTTATAAAGTCAGTTTTTTTGTTATTTTTTTTATTTTACCTTGTCATAACCGAATACATTTAGCCATAGAAAATTTAATGTCAGCTACAGACGGTTGTAAAATCTGTAGTTCTTACAAATATGCTGCTAGTTCTTACAAATATGCACTACTATGCTTATAATTGTGCACACTATGAGGCCTATTGTTGCTAAATAAAATAAATGCAATAAAGTGGCTCGATGTACAGATTTCGTTACCGTTCTACTCCATATCAGTTGGCGGGCTTTTCAATTCTAAACATTAAATCAAAAATGATGTAATGTTTTAGACATTTACTTACCATCAATAACGCTGTCAATAATTGACTAAGAAGGCAACATTGAGTTTCGAACATAATACAAAAGGAATGACCAACAGCTCTAAGAGCGAGAAGGCACTCAGAGGCCGCCTCTGTCAGCAATCAAAAGATAATGACAAAGTTTCTTCATTACCATTACTCTATAGCCAATTCTCAGCCCGTCTACTTTTTTTACAAGTGCAGTTGGTAGGTATAATCTGTTCTTCTTCAGAAGACTGGCTTGTAGTTAGAGTATTTATACTTTCGGATTTCCTCCGGAGAATGAGCTAACAAGAGGCCGACGTTCGCAGATGTTGCTTGTTTCCAAACAATGAGTTTTGTTTGTTATTAATCATTGAGAATGTAAAGTTCTGTTAGTGTCCATAGTGGGCAGTCGATATTTACAATTAGGTGAACCTATATAATTGATATTCTCGAACAATATACATCTAATCTATAACCTCACTAGTACATTTTAAGTAGTTTAGTAAATGATATTTGAGTTTTTTTTCACGCCAATCTCATAATACTCATATTCATAGTTTGCAAACGCATTTATAATAAAATCTAACAAAATATGTAAAGTATTTACTTTTAAAAGCCTACACATGTCCCATTGCTGGGGTAAGGCCTCCTCCGTGCAGAGGGTAATAGGGCATACTTATCCACGTGACCTCACTGCGAATTGGCAAGCTTCACTTATCTTCGGATCATTTTTTTTCTGTTATTATTTCAATAATATGTTATCTTCACGACGTTTTCCTTCACCGCTGAGCACGTGACAAATCACTTAAAATTAACAATGTCATTGGTGTTGCCACGGCAATTTGAACTCAGGTTGCTTGTTATTATTATTTAATTAAAAACCCGAGCACCCGAACACTGTGCTGCCACGGTTCCAAATTTCATAATTCTTATAACTTTCTTCTTTCCTTTATTTTGTAAAGGTAGAATTGAATGAAAATATTACTTTTATTTTAAAGCAGAATGGAAAAAATGGGTCCACATTATTTAAAAGCAAACGTAGCATCATATAAAGGCAAGGTGCTATAAGTTATAAGTTTATACGATGTTTAAATAAATAATTTTGAGACACTAGGTTATGTGAGTCAAAAGAAAGAAAATATTAAAATTGGTTAAAAGAAATATTAAAATTGGTTAAAGTCTTCGTGCAATGACGTAATGCTCTGAGTTTTTCGTACATGTATTGACTAGACAATTCAGAGAATCACTCGAAATGTTGTATAATCTCTTTTTGAAAAGGAAACTAAAAAAATTTAAAAAAAAAAACGCTAAAATTCGTTAATTTTTCAGGTTTGCTTAAAAATATAGTTAAGTTATTAAGTGTTAACAATTTCATGTTTCAATAATTTGATCTTTGAAATATTGTTTATTTGAAATTGATTATTTGAAAATGTATCCGTCTCCCAATGATTAAGGCTCAAAACGAAAAAAAATCTAAATGTTAATAATTCTGTCAAGGTGTTGCACTTAAAAGTTCAACTTAATCAACAACGAATCTACTTCGAATATAAGAAAAAAAATGGTATGTTTTTTATAATTATTATCATTGAAAACAATGATGAATTATTTTATGACCACTCAACTCCTCCAAGGCCGGCTGGTCACCCCGGCCATTGCCTCCCCGCGTCAGGAGTATAATGAAGCGCCTGTCAGCACGCTTGCCGCCTCGCCGGAGATTGTCAGGTAGCCCGTGTGGCCCGTTTAGCTAACATCGTCTGAAGTTTGCGCAGAACCGCTATTTTCCGGCGATTCAGGGTTTAAAATACGAAATTCCTATATGAATCTTTCTTTAGGCAGGAATTTGATAACTAACACTGGATTAGTAGCTCTCCACGAAACAGTTGGCTCCAAACGGTAAGTGGCATATTGGTTGCAGTTTACTTGTTCATAATTAACATTATTCATTTCACTGTATCCTTTTGTAACTATAACCTTTTTAACGTACATCGTAAGCACTAAAATAGGGTGCGAGAAAATTAAAACGAAAACATATAGAAAATTCATTTATTTTCATGGTCAGATGTAAGATACATGGCTTCTATTTAGTTAAGGATGTCAGGAAGGACAATAGCAGGGGCGGGAATGATAGGAGCGACGATGACGGGTTCCGGAACAGTTGGCTGTTCTACTACAATGACGGGCTCAGGAACGATGGGCTCAGGAACGACGGGCTTGTCCACTACGATAACTGATTCAGGAGCCTCAGGCTTGTCGACCACGATCACGGGCGTAGGGATAATAGGCTTCTCTTCGACAACCTCGGGGTTGGGAACGATTGGCCTGTCAATAATAACGGGCTCAGGGGTGGGGTTGCTCTCAACAGCTACATCAGAAGAGGACTGGATGTTGAGGATGATTTGAACTAGGGGAGCCTTAGCAGGGGGACCGACGGGGGTGGGCTTAACAGGAGTGGGGGGTAGGGGGAAATCAATGAGAGCGGGCCCAATAGAAATGGGTTCGTATTCGTCAACGATAGCGGGTCCAATGGAAATGGGTTCCTCGTTGTCGACGAGTGCGGGTCCGATGGAAATAGGTTCTTCATTGTCTACGAGAGCGGGTCCGATGGAAATGGGTTCCTCGTTGTCGACGAGTGCGGGTCCGATGGAAATGGGCTCTTCGTTGTCGACGATTGCAGGTCCGACAGAAGGAGGAATTACGCCGGCCGAAGCCACGGCAAATAGGGCGAAAGCAATAAGGAATTTCATATCAGTTCTGAAAATAAATGAAAGAATACTTAAATTATTATATGTGGTTAATTTTTATGTTATGCAGACTATAAAATTATAAACATTTACGTAGTTTGTATGACTTTACAATCTTGTCACGTTTGTCTTTTAATTGCGAACACAGTATATTTTAAAAAGCAAGCTCTTAAGAATATCGTACATAGTTTAACGTGAACAAAAAGAAAATTAAACAAGTAGTGGATAATGTTTTTTTTATGTGAAAAGTTAGCTAGCGATTTACCTGATGTTAAGTGATTACCCATGAACATTAACAACACCTTACGTGTTGCAGATGTGATATCAAGTATTAAAGTGTTGCCGCCGGTTACCTTACTCACAATACGTAGCGCAAAAATATAAAACTTCCATTTCACGCAATACAAAGAGATTAAATAACTAAAATAGTAATTGAAACCTAATTGTATAAATAGGTAATCGTATGGAAGACCAGATTTATGCCCGTTTTCATTATCGATACCTAACCTTAGGGGATACCTAAAAATTTAATTGCTTGTTCCGTTTTCACCACTAGCAATTAAATTGTTTTAGGTGTCCCTTAAAGCTAGGGATCGATGGTGAAAAACGGGGCATTAGACACTGTTGTTATTGAGAATATGTATTTTGGTTTGTACACCGCATAAAATTTTTATTCCTTTTTAGCACCAGCGAGCGAAGCAAGGATAAATTTTCTCGTATGACATACATGAGTTTGGACCGACGTTTCTTTAAAAAAAAACGTTTAAAGAACCGTTAATTTAATTTAAAAGATACATTTTCTCTTCTGCTTAAAATCCTTTTTCATGTTTGTTATATTTCAATTTTGATTTATTGCTGGTATTAATAGTTTTGGTTAAGATGTATTTACATGAATATTTTATTAATGACGACGATTACCTTAACATTAGTTTAAAAGTAAAATGGAATTGTTCTACTTACTTTTAGCTTGCAGTAAAAGTGTAACTAATACGTAAGCATTTTTCACTTGAGTTTATATACCAGTTCTTTATCTTAAAATTTAATTTTATCTGACAATGGAGATTATTGGATTTCCTGATTATTTTGTTTAGCTAGTTTAAGATTAAAATAAAATTGATCGCTCAATGAAATTGCTACCTTATTTAACATCTTAATAATATTAATGTATTGATTTTAATTATAGTGTGTGATATATATTTTATTTCTAAAGTTTTAATTTAGTTTCATTATTTTTTATTTGTGATTGATGACTAGTTCTACCAAAAGGCACAGTTCCAAACAAAGAGCTAAATTCTAACTACACTAAACCCAGTGTATATTTTAAAGAAGTACGTAAATGAGGTAATATAAGAAATTTCTTTAATACATAACATGTACATATGTGGTAATATAATTTTTGAGGATATTTATCTACGATTGATATTATTGTACGCCATTCATTTATTTGCATCAAACTTGATGCACAGCTTGGTGTATTTATCCGGTGAATTGTTTTTCTTAACCGTGTAGATTATTATAAAAAGGTTTTTGATCAGCGTGTACCTTTTACTTTATATTTATTGGCAATAATAATTAGAGTTTTACTAATAAAAATTTACACTTGCTGCTGATACTTGATATGATTTTTCAATCTTTTGGTGCGTTTGGAAAAAAATATGAACGTAAAATTTTTACGATGCACGCAAACCGACCCCCACAAAGATTGATGATTTTGTTCTTGCTATTTACAAAGCAACCAAGTTCGTGGTATTACCATGTCAACCATTAAAAGCATTTGGACATGTATAATTCCAAGCTATAACCGTTATCAATCGCATTTAATGTCTTTTTCACAAACACACAGTACTGGCACAGGGGATAACATTTTTAGTGTTTTGTTCTTTTTTTACGCTAAAGAATTAAGACTTCTGACATGCGTACATAAGTTTATAGTTTTCAGTATTTATGTAAATTTAAGAATAAGATTTTCCAACACACTGAAAGATTTTTTTAATGTTTTGCAGAGTACATTATAATACATTCAAGTTTTGCGAAACACTGCTGTTTTGCGGCCCATTGTTATGGAACCTCTGCTTTTAAAACAGATTATCTTAAATGGCTCAACACCAATGTTTTTTTATTGCCCTTCAATGGTTTGTTAATTATTGAATTGCCAGTTTGTGTTTTGTGATGCTACTTGTATGTTTTGCATAAGCTTTTGTGATCATTGTTTCTAATCATTCGATAAACATAAAAACATATTCTATTATGATGTAATATATTTCATATTTTTAGATTTGAATTATTTGTTTTGATATAGTAATATGGCGGGGCTATCAGAGTAAATAAAATAACGAATTAAACATACTTTAAAATATATTGTAAGTGTAACTTGTATTCCAATATAAGAAATTTAACTATTTTAGCGCGAATAGACGGTTGAACAATCAAACTCTGATACAGCTACAACTTATGTTACTGTTACTTTTCTTTACTTTTTACTGTTCTTCTATATTTTTACTGTTCTTTTCAATATCTTATAAACTTAGTACGTTACGTTAGTTGGTTAGTTAGTTACGTTAAGCCTTCACAGGCATTTTAATTTCTGGAGCTCATCACTATAATATTCGCGACTTCAATATAATAATATGTACACCATATTGATACTGACAAGCTACACTTTTATTGTTTGACGTCCTTCGGTGCCACTTATCGTTCCCGTTTTATATTGTATATATAAATATATAGTATTTAGCCATATATATTTTTCACTTGATGCATATATATAGATATATATATATATATATATATATATATATATATATATATATATATATATATATATATATATATTTATTTATTTATTTTATGCATTTATTTGTGTATAGTAGTGTTGTGTATCTATAATACCTATATTTACAATAGCGTATACCTCAAACCCTTCTCACTGATCATTGTATCCTCAGTAACATGGTTGCCTGGAAGAAATCTCTTCTAAGCGATAAGGCCGCCAATTGTACCTTTATGTAATTGTTTGTTACTTTTGTAATTTTGTCTGGTGTACAATAAAGCATATTTCATTTCATTTCATTTCATTTCATATCTACTGCTAGCGTCTCACTACTTACTTACTTTAAAAACACCATTTACCCCACACTATGATCGTTAATTTCTATACTAACCGATACACGATCGGATGATATAAAAACAAGTAAAATAAAGTAAAGTAACAGCATGTAAATGTCCCACTGCTGGGCAAAAGCCTCCTCTATAAAGAGGGCATATTCGCGACCCCACTACTGATTGGCGGACTTCACATATTTTTGAAATATTTTTTTTTATTATTTCGAAAATATGCAGGTTTCCTCAAGATATTTTTCTTCACCGCCGAGAACGTGATTAACCAGCATTTAAAATTAACAATTTCGTTGGTGATGGGGATCGAACTCAGTTTGCTCGAAAAATTATATCAGATAGAATAACCGGGAATAAACTAAGTTTTTCTTACAGTGATGGTTTTAAAAATGTAGAAAAAGTGCGAAAAGATTGTCGCCGCTGTGGGAATCGAACCCACGTCTTCGGCATTCGCGGCCTGACGCTCTAGCCACTGAGCTAAACGGCTGATTACCACACCGACGAAAATCTTAACGGCTTCCTTCTACATTGTTTTCTTAGCATTGAAGCAATGCTTGGCGCCATCTATTGTTATATCCTTTCCAGCATACCAACAACTTCGAATATCGTTTTTACAACGATAATTCGAACGAGAGATGTCGCCATTGCTTTTTAAGAAATTTTTTTTTATAGTGCTAATCTTTTTTATTGAACATTAAAATAAAAAAGTGCGAAAAGATTGTCGCCGCTGTGGGAATCGAACCCACGTCTTCGGCATTCGCGGCCTGACGCTCTAGCCACTGAGCTAAACGGCTGATTACCACACGCATTAAAATCTTAACGGCTTCCTTTACATTGTTTTCTTAGATTTGGCAATCGCGCCACTATTGTTATATCCTTTCCAGCATACGAAAAATATTTTTACAACGATAATTCGAACGAGAGATGTCGCCATTGCTTTTTAAGAAATTTAAATTTTTTATAGTGCTAATCTTTGCACTTAAGATTGAACATTAAAATATGTAGAAAAAGTGATGGTTTTGCTCCGAGACTATTAAAAAAAATCTCACCAAATTTAGCAACCCTCAATATTATGCCGCCCTAGGCCCGGGCGTACTCGGCTAAAAAAGGATAATCCGCCACTGCTGTCATCTCAAAATGATGCCTCATTATCTACTAATCATCATGCATCAAATACAATTCAAATGTTTTTATAGAATATAAAAGCTTTATATTAACTTATTCGTACTTTTTCTACATATTGTAATGTTCAATCTTAAGTGTAAAGATTAGCACTATAAACAATTTAAAATTATTGATTGTCAAAAAACGCTACTACGCCACTACGCTTTCTTTACTACGCTTCGGAAAAAAGCCAAGCCACAAAAACCTGAGAAGAACCGGCAAAAGAAACTCAGCGGGACAATTTTAGATAATTTAACAAAAACCGGCTAAATGCGAGTCGGACTCGCACACGAAGAGTTTCGTAGCATTATCCACAAAAACGGCAAAAAAATTATGTCTATTATATAGGAGGCCCACTTAAATATTTATTTATTCTGTTTTTTACTATTTGTTCTTATAGCGGCATCAGACATACACCATATGCGAAATTTTCAACTGTTTAACTATCATGGTTCATGAGATACAGTCTGATGATAGACAGACAGTGGAGACTTAGTGATAGGGTCCCATTTTACCCTTTGTGTACGGAACCCTAAAAAATAAACATGTATCCGATATATTCCACTCCTTCCAATTGATTAATTCATTTCCAGAGTGTGTATCAATGAAATAATCAATAATACTGTAATAGGCTTTAACACACAAACGTTCCTTTACAATTTTGTGAATTTAGCTTAGCACACTGAACGTTTTTTGGGATTTTGTTGTAAAAGCGTATACATTATATGTAAGCGTATACATATTATATACGATTTACTTATTCTACGCAATCTAGGGTAGAATTAATTCATGCTTGTTCCTAGTATTATTTTATGCACATTACTAAATCTTGAAAGTTCATTTTTGTTTTTATTGACAAATATACAATAACATAACAAAAAAATAAGATGAAATAACATTTGCAAGTATGTTTGTATTGAGGAGGTGTAGCATTTTGACTGTACTCAGTCAGTCATCAGAATTACACTCTAAACAATTCCCCCCATATATGCACGAGGAAGCGTAGTTCGATCGTAGTGTAAAGTTTCACTACTCCACTTACTTGAGTTACTACTTTTCACATAATTTAACTTGGTTAGCGAGTTATATTATTATTCTATTTTTATCTTATTACAAAGTTATATCAATCTAGTAAGTACTCTTAATGTCTCTGCAGAAAGCGGATGTAGGCGACGCGTTACAATTTTATTTCATATAGTTAGTTTAGTTTTATGTTACATTTTATGTTAATCTAGTGTATTAGTTAAAATTTGTAGAAAAAGTATGAAAAGATTGTCGCCACTGAGGGAATCGAAGCCACGTCTTCGGCATTCGCGGTCTGACGGTCTAGCCACTAAGCTAAACGGCTCCTTGCCACACCGACGAAAATTTTAACGTCTTTTATCTACATTGTTTTTTAGCATTTGAAGCAATACTTGGCGCATCGTGTATTAGTTTTATATTGTTTGTTATTAATTTAATGTGTAATTTTGAATTGAAATTTTCTTTTGATATGACAACAGCGAACGGACGCGCGAGCGTTCATTTGGAATTTTAAAAATTCCATTCCGTACGTACGCTCTGCTACCGTATATTGTATCCACGTATACAGGATGATTTTTAGACCAAGTATATACTTTGACATAATGTTAATTGAGCATTCCATAATTCAAAAAAAAATATTAATATTTTCTTTTAACAAGAAATAACCAGAAAAATATCAATTCAAACATTGTTTATCCCGTTAAGAGTGGTCACTCTATTGATAAGCAGTTCAGTAATTATGCGTTCATGCGAACAGTTTTAGTGCTCGTGAATAGGTTATTGTATTGAGACGGTAAGGCAGGAATTTCTAACAGGGTGTCCATTATGTTTGAAAATAATCTATGAAAAAAAAAAGAGGTCACAAGTACTTACCAAATTCAGATTAAGAATCAAATTCTGCATTTGCTCTGTTTATATGTCCATCGTCTATAAAATCAGCCTGTATATCCTAAGTTATTTAATCGGGGCCAATGCTGGGGCTCCGGATGGTGGCTACGATTTACTGGATCTTCGGGTTCCAGCTGACGATCACAGCGGAAGTAATTACGCTGGCCGAATCCACTACAAGAAGAGTGAAAGCATTACTAAGCATATAGTAATAAAATTACTAATACTTTGTTGTCACAAATGCGAGAGGTCTTACATAGGTCACACGAAAAGCTATAAAAAGCCGCACAAAGGAACATATAGCTGACATAAAACATCACAGATTAAATAAGTCTGCAGTATGTGAGCACACTCTATTGCCCCAACCATTACATCAGGTGTGATAGACCACACATCCTTGTAAAAGAACACCGATTCCTCCCTAAAACACCCTTATTTCAATAGAGAAGAGGGTTGGGTTCTACCATCATCTTGGCATCCTACATAGGTCGTTAACTAAAAGTTTTCTGGAACTGGCCACTTACATAAACAATATTTAAAAAGTAATTACAACATTTGAAAATGGAACTCTTTGGCTGTAGAACGAAGTTTGTTTCTTCTGACTGTCAATTTTTTTACATTGTGGCGCCATTTTAAAAACTGCGTGTCTACATTAACATGCATTTGACTCGGGAAAATTTTCTTATATTAATGTTTCGTATCGTCGGCAAATCGAAGGTGGGTGATGTATTCGCCATTTATGTTAATACCACGTCCTTTCCAGTGCAGAAGCTGGAAGACATCTTCCAATGCAGCGGTGAAGAGGGAATCCGCTGTGGGAATCCAACCCACATCTTGGGGATTTGCGCCCTGACGCTCTAGCCACTAAGCTAAACGGCTGATTGCCAAACCGACGAAATTCTCTACACCCTTTTTTAGAACATTTTAAGCAATGGGTATTGGTGCAGAAAACATTGTTCGATTCTAGGTAGTGACACTGAAAATTTTCATAGTGCCTTCTTTGCTTCCGTGGATAGTCTTATTTACATATGATTATGTATTTTTGAGGTCTTTATTTTTTTAAATCTTTTTGCTATATATTTATATTTACTAATTGTAACGTATCTAGTAGCTTCCAGAAAATAATATTATATGTTTAATACGTGGATAATGTAGTGAGCTGTAATAACAGCATATTTAGCAGCAGCATAATTGTCCACACAATAATATTTTATTACTACCTCAACACAGTAGATTTTTTACTTATTTTATGATATAAGCAGAAATTGTAGCTGTTTCTTATCAAAAATAAAAAAAAATAATATTGTGTAAATGTAAAACTTATTTGTAATTTAAAATCTACGTAAAGCAGGGTGCCCATTACATTAATTTATTTATTACGTAAAAAATCATTATAAAAAGCTACATCTATTTACTAAAATTCATTTTTTATTTTTATTTACGCACCTACCACAATTTCTCTTCACATATATAGTTTATACATATACTATATATATTTTTTATATATATATATATTTTATACCTACCACACTTTCTCTTCACATATATATTTGTGAAGAGAAAGTGTGGTAGGTATCATAACACATATACCTATATCAAAAATAGGAGTTAAATCAGCCCTTAATAAATATAAAGGTGTTTGCAATCAAGAGTACATAAAACATTTTCTGACCTCTGGTTCTTCCCTCCTGTTGACCAGATAAAGAAAGAGATTAATATGTTACTGTAACAATAAGTTTATCGATGCCACTTAAGTTATCCATATTAACACAAATAAGTTTACATTATGCGATCGTGCAATGAAGAGAATTATGCTGGAAAATTTAAACTTAAAATGGCAAAATTATCATTTTACTTGATGGCAATAGCATAGTGAGAGGAAGTAAATTCGTCTACTAGAGGTTCTTATTTTTTGTTCTGGCTTCTTTGAATTATTTGAAATATTTTATTTATTTATTTTTTTTTTGTTTTAAGACTTCATGCACATAACTCTGTACATAGGCGGACTTAATGCTGACAGCATTTTCTACCAGTCAACCTTAGGGTGGTACCGAGATTTTTAGGTAGGTGCACAAACATTTAAAATATAAATATTATACTAATTACACATAAATATATACATAATACAATACAATTAAATAAAAGTTTACATATATATTCATACTGTACTATAAATATATACATATACATAAATATATACACAAATACGCATACATATTTTTATCTGATGATGTCATGAAACTGCTGGCAGCTTTCCCAAAATGTACTTCCGTGCCATTCTCTTAAAAGCAAGGCGATTCTTAGCCATTCTGATTTTGGGAGGATGCTTATTCCAAAGAAGGATAGATCGAACAAAGAAAGAGGAATGGATAAAATCAAACTGAACAGAAGAAGAAGAACAGAAGGCGATTATTTTCAATAGTATTAAGCTATTATATTTGCCGTGACAGCTCAGTGTCCGGGCGCTTTCCTTTAATGCAAAATACTCGAGCAACCTGAGTTCGATACCCGGTGCCGGCACCAAAGAAATTCTTAATTTCAAGTGCTGACTTATCTCGTGCTCAGCGATAAGGACGAAAACTGAATATTTTCGAAATAATAAAAAAACGAATATTTCGAAGATATGTGAAGTCCGCCAATCCGCAATGGGACCGCGTGGTGGACTATTCCCTGATACCCTCTAAACAGAGAAGGCCTATGCCCAGTTGTGGGACATGTACAGGCTGTAATTTTACTTTTTTTAAGCTATTCACTTAATCGAAGTAGGTATATATGAAATAGCTTTCTAAATACTATGACAACAGTAATAGTATATAACGTAAATGTTACGTTTTAAGCGTTCTGTATGACCTTACGCAACAAGTTTCATTAAATTTGTTTAAATAAACGGTTCTATGTGATATAATCTGTCTGTTGTTCATTTTAGGTACCTGCATACACTTGGGTTTTGTAAAGGACTTTGATTTGATAATGTTGAAATGTACTTGATAAATACAATCTAAAAAAATGGTGAGGGGTACAAATAAAATATAAAAATTTTAGTAACTTCTGTTTTTTTTATAAATGTGTTCCATAGTATAATTTTGTCCTGTAAATACTTTAGTATTCGGATATTATACACCAATTATGCTTAGTTAAGTATTTCAGGAAGAACAATAGCGGGGCGGGGATGATGGGTTGAGCAATGATGACGGGCTCAGGAATGGTTGGCTGGTCTACAATAATGACGGGTTCAGGAACGATGGGCTCAGGAACAATGGGCTCAGGAACAATGGGCTCAAAAACGGTGGGCTTGTCCACTACGATAACTGACTCAGGAGCCTCTGGCTTGTCGACAACGATCACGGGCGTAGGAATAATAGGCTTCTCTTCGACTACCTCGGGGTTGGGAACGATTGGCCTGTCTACGATAACGGGCTCAGGAACGAATCCAGCATCATCAACAACCTGAACGGGGGTGGGTGGTGGGGAGGGGATGCTTTCAACAGCTACATCGGAAGAGGACTGGATGTTCAAGATGATTTGGACAAGGGGAGCGTTAGCGGAGGGGCCGACGGGAGTGGGCATAACAGGGGCAGGGTGCACCTCAGTGACGGCACCAACGTCTGGTAGGGGGAAGTCAATGAGAGCGGGCCCAATAGAAATGGGTTCATAGTTGTCTACGATAGCGGGTCCGACCGAAATGGGTTCTTCGTTGTCAACGACAGCGGGACCGACGGAAATAGGTTCGTAGTTGTCTACGAGTGCAGGTCCGACGGAGATGGGTTCGTAGCTGCCAACGCCAGCGGGCCCAACGGAGATGGGTTTGTCAACGAGTGCAGGTCCGATGGAGATGGGCTCGTAGTTGTCAACCAGTGCAGGTCCGACGGAGATGGGTTCGTAGCTGTCAACGCCAGCGGGCCCAACGGAGATGGGTTTGTCAACAAGTGCAGGTCCGATGGAGATGGGCTCGTAGTTGTCAACCAGTGCAGGTCCGACGGAGATGGGTTCGTAGCTGCCAACGCCGGCGGGACCAACGGAGATGGGTTTGTCAACGAGTGCAGGTCCGATGGAGATGGGCTCGTAGTTGTCAACGAGTGCAGGTCCGACGGAGATGGGTTCGTAGTTGTCAACGAGTGCAGGTCCGACGGAGATGGGTTCGTAGCGGGCCCAATCAACGCAGGTCCAACGGAGAGTTTGCAGTGCAGGTCCGACGGAGATGGGTTCGTAGTTGCCAACGCCAGCGGGCCCAACGGAGATGGGTTTGTCAACGAGTGCAGGTCCGATGGAGATGGGTTCGTAGTTGTCAACCAGTGCAGGTCCGACGGAGATGGGTTCGTAGCTATCAACGAGTGCAGGTCCGACGGAGATGGGTTCGTAGCTGCCAACGCCAGTGCGGGCCCGACGGAGATGGGGTTTGTCAACGAGTGCAGGTCCGATGGAGATGGGTTCGTAGTTGTCAACGAGTGCAGGTCCGACGGAGATGGGTTCGTAGCTATCAACGAGTGCAGGTCCGACGGAGATGGGTTCGTAGCTGCCAACGCCAGCGGGCCCAACGGAGATGGGTTTGTCAACGAGTGCAGGTCCGATGGAGATGGGTTCGTAGTTGTCAACGAGTGCAGGTCCGACAGAGATGGGTTCGTGCAGGTCCGACGGAGATGGGTTCGTAGCTGCCAACGCCAGCGGGCCCAACGGAGATGGGTTTGTCAACGAGTGCAGGTCCGATGGAGATGGGTTCGTAGTTGTCAACGAGTGCAGGTCCGACAGAGATGGGTTCGTAGCTATCAACGAGTGCAGGTCCGACGGAAATGGGTTCGTAGCTGCCAACGCCAGCGGGCCCAACGGAGATGGGTTTGTCAACGAGTGCAGGTCCGATGGAGATGGGTTCGTAGTTGTCAACCAGTGCAGGTCCGACGGAGATGGGTTCGTAGCTGCCAACGCCAGCGGGCCCAACGGAGATGGGTTTGTCAACGAGTGCAGGTCCGATGGAGATGGGTTCGTAGTTGTCAACCAGTGCAGGTCCGACGGAGATGGGTTCGTAGCTATCAACGAGTGCAGGTCCGACGGAGATGGGTTCGTAGCTGCCAACGCCAGCGGGCCCAACGGAGATGGGTTTGTCAACTAGTGCAGGTCCGATGGAGATGGGCTCGTAGTTGTCAACCAATGCAGGTCCGACGGAGATGGGTTCGTAGCTGCCAACGCCAGCGGGCCCAACGGAGATTGGTTTGTCAACAAGTGCAGGTCCGATGGAGATAGGTTCGTAGTTGTCAACCAGTGCAGGTCCGACGGAGATGGGTTCGTAGCTGCCAACGCCAGCGGGCCCAACGGAGATGGGTTTGTCAACGAGTGCAGGTCCGATGGAGATGGGTTCGTAGTTGTCAACGAGTGCAGGTCCGACGGAGATGGGTTCGTAGTTGTCAACCAGTGCAGGTCCAACGGAGATAGGTTTGTAGTTGTCAACGCCAGCGGGCCCAACGGAGATGGGTTTGTCAACGAGTGCAGGTCCGATGGAGATGGGCTCGTAGTTGTCAACCAGTGCAGGTCCGACGGAGATGGGTTCGTCAACGCCCAACGGAGATTGGTTTGTCAACGAGTGCAGGTCCGACGGAGATGGGTTCGTAGTTGTCAACCAGTGCAGGTCCAACGGAGATAGGTTTGTAGTTGTCAACGAGTGCAGGACCAACAGCAATGGGCTCGGGCTTGGCAAGACCAAGTGCTTGGAGAAGCATTTGCCCGAGACCGGTGGCAATGTTAGGGCCTATGCTGGGGCTCTGGAGGCCAGCTAAGATTTTCTGGACTTCTGGGTTCTCACTGGCGATACCAGCAGGAGGAATTACGTTGGCCGAAGCCACGGCAAACAGAGTGAAAGCAATCACGAACTTCATAGTGATCTGGAAATAAATAAGACAAATAAGTAAATAAATCATTTACTTTTAAAGTTTATGTTAAGGGTCATTAATAATTTATTCATTAAACAACATAGTTGTAAAATAGTTAATTTTTGAATTATTTTGTTTACGCCAACGAAGTTCGTTAAGAACAAAAGTCGTAAGAACAAAATATTATAACAAAACTACTTACTTTTAGCTTGCACATTAACTTTTCACTATGTTTCAGGACATTTTTCTCCACTTTATATACCAACGTGTATTATCTTTAAGTTTAATTTAATCTCATAATAGGGATTACTGGATTTCGAGATTATTTGGTTGAGCTTGTTTGGGTTTAAAATGTGATACATTATAATGCTATTTTCTATTATCTGTCTATCCATTTCTAAATTATTATCTACTTAAATTTCACTTATTCTTTTGCAATTGAATTTTATAGTGTATTTTAATGGCGTTTATTCTTTACAAGAAATATACTTTGACTTTTTCGCCCACACTTTCATCTCGACTTTTACCAGCGTTTAAAAATTACTAACGCCACATTACGGACGCTTATAGATACAGGACATATCTAGTCATTGAATAGCGAAGATCAGAAAATCCAGAAAATCCCAATGGTTATGATTACATCACAGGGATTCCGTTAATGTGGCCCCGCATTCGGGGACTTAACAAAGGACAGAACTGATGATCGGTGAAAAGATTCTAACTTTACAGCGGCACTGGCCTTTCCTATAACATTAAACAAGCTCGACACCCTAAAATCATAAATCTTACGAACTTACTTAACCGCAAGGTATTGCAGAGTGTTGGTATTGGCCGCATTAGCGTGCTGATCCATATTTCTTTACCTTGCCATTCGGCAGCAGAGCCTTTTTGGCACACACCGAAGGAATCAGTGGATTCTACTTCGTTAAATAGTAAACATTACTTCATTAAATAATGAGTATTGTTCCGCGATTTACGAGGATCTTTTTAAGTCCCTTGCTTTTTTAAGGCAGTCATATACTTAATATCAATTCCTATAATAATGATTTCAAAATTTGACGTCACCTAACTTGTCTTACAGAAGTATAAAACTTTAATGTAATTTGGATCGACCTTCTTCTTTCCTTAATTTCAATATGTTTTAGATAAATCTTATGTTCAGATAAGATTTTCAATTTTAACATTTTCTAATCACATAATATGTTTTAAATATTATTGCTATGTACTAGGAAAATGTTTAGATTCACATGGAACACATAACACAAAAATATACAAGAATTTTGCGTATTTTATGACTCCAAATTATAAGTACTCTTGTTATTAATCTCTTAAAAAAAGCTTTCATGGCTGGTTTGATAAGTAGATACTTAAATATGAAATATATTTAATCTCTCTTTTCTTCTATTACGGTTTACGTCACGCCTTGCATGCAATCTCAATATGGAACCCACAGAATGAAGTTATTTTGATTTTTGAAATAAAAATGTATCATATCGCATTCCATAAATCGAGATAGTTATGCATGTAATAACTTTAGGCATAACTATCTGGATTTTAACTACTATGTTATGCCCATTAAAACTTCATAAATTAATTTGATTTGAAGCAGTTGAATGATTTTCCCTTGAAGTTCAAATAATAATCATTACGTGATTTTTGAACTTTGATTGGTGATGGTTCTTGTTTCATCTTCGCCCAACACATCGCAATTTAAAAAGATGCGAATAAAGATGTATGGTAATATACTTTTTCTTGCAGTTATAAAACTGTCTGTTGTAATAAGGTATCACAATATAATATAATTAAAATCACCTATCTTTGTATTCTATATTTTGTTACGTCTTTTATGCATGATTGTCTTTTATGGCTAAACATTAGTTAGTTAACTACTTATTGTAAATTACTACTTATTAGAAAACGATTAATTTTTTTATTATTTTTTTGTTTCTTTTTTAATGTAATAAAGTAGGCTTTACATTATTTTAACTTTTTTTTATACATTATGTGTGCATGTTGTGTTTACCTTAAAAAAGTTGTACACTTAGTTATAATTACTGTACTGTTAATATAAATTGTATGGGTGTAACAACTGCTGGTAAACCTCAATAAATAAATAAATAAATAAATAAATAAATGATTGCAATTTATGCGAAAAAAGGTGCACGTTACGTGAAAACTATGTTATGAATATTAAATTTGTAGTTTTGCAATTTTCATTGTGTGTTTGTTTGTGATTCTAAAAATCCTAATAACCTTCTATTTGTTCGCTACTGTAGATTACTCTGGCACCTCAATACCACTTTCCTAATCCCATTACGGTAGCTCTATATCAGAGGTACGCCAAGGGTGACACTTCTGCTACTCTTCTGATTTTGGAATAGTTCAGTGCATAAGCGGCTGTACCTAACAAATGCACAAGTTGAACCAAATTCATTGTTTGTATGCTGGAAAGGATGTAACAATGAATGCAACAAGCATTGTGCTAAAAAACAATGTAGATAACAGACCTTAAGATGTTCGTCGGGTGGGGAAATCGGCAATTTAGCTTAGCGCCTAAAGCGTCAGGCCGCGAAGGCCGAAAACGTGGGTTCGATTCCCATAGCGGCGACAATCTTTTCGTACTTTTTCTACAAATTTTAATCAAATTCATTGTTTCTTTTTTTTTTCAGATCATTCCCCTTACTTTAGGATAACATTATCCTGTGTTGTAAGGATGTTTTTACAAACACAAATTTCACACGGACAAACACCCAGATGCGAAACAATTATCTGTGGATCACACAAATAGTTGTCCCGTTCGGGAATCGAACCCACGACGCCCGACGCTGAAGCCAATATCTTGGCAATTGCGCCACGGAGTCATCAAATATAAAATGTTAATGAAATTATAAACGTCCAAACGTCGCAAGGGATAAAAACGCAATACTGCGGCTATTTATATTTATATATTCATCCACTCTTACGTTTATTAACTGAGTAAGATTCCTTTTAATTTTGAAAGTGTATTTGTATTATATTCTCAGCATGGAGCATGAGTAATAGAAGTAGTATCTCATATGTGCTTTTAACTGAGTTCTTGCCCACATAAATATTTTTAAAAATTGTTCAGTAATTAAATGACCAGAATGCCGCTAATATACATAAGCAAATAAATCTTAAGACATTTTTGGCAGTAAAGATTTTAACGGTAGTACACGAAGTGAAGTACGCTTAAGGAAAACATTTGATTTTGCTTAAAAAAAGAGCACACTTTTAAGCAAAGTCAGAAAACAAAAATTTCTATGTTAGCAAAATTAAAGGTTTTACATCGTTAAAATATTAAAAACTTTTTTCTGTTTACAGATTTTTCTTAATTTGTTACTATTGAAAGCTTTCAAGCCTTTACGCAGCGGTAAATCTGTCTTCATTTATTTAGCCCTATTCTAAGAATTTCAGTTGCTTTGTTTGAAATATAGAACTCATGGTACATTACATGGTACATTACTACAGTACTGCCATCTTCACTCTTTGAGTAAAAGTGTTCTGTGGCCATCTTAGCGTAGTTTAAAACTTTGCAATGACAAAAAAGGTCAATGTCATCATTGTTACTTTTCGTTTTGCAAATATAAAACGTTTTTAAAAAGTGCAAAACATACAAATAATAACTGTATAAATTCATAAACATATCATAAAAATCAATATATAAGGAATCATGTTATGTAATATCAGTGAATATTTATGATGTCGGTTAATAGATTAATAATCAGCAGATAAAGAGAACGTAAACAGTTAGCATATTTGCTTGCTTGGAATAAGAGTGCTTGCCGACGATGGAATGGGGTTTAAATAAGCTGAAAAAATGATTTTTTTATGACTTATAAAATTATTTTTTCATATTTAAAAATATGTATTTCTCCTAAGACTTTTGTTTTTGTAATATCTTTCATATTTATAAAATCGGACATAAATTAGCCACGCCATTTGTGGATATAAAACGTCATGAATTGTAATATGTATAAATGTATAAAAACTAAAAAATGAATATCTTATAGAATTTTTACATTAATTATTATTATTTTTAGTGCTAGTCTGTACACTCAAGATGAAACTTTAAATTGTAAAATTTTGTAGATAAATGAACAAAAACTCTGCATGTTCCGGTTTCACGCCCAGACGATTTATCAACTAAGTTAAGCGGCCGATTAATTCACGGCGCTGCGTATCTTCTACGATATATCGATATTCGAACGATATACCAAACGCTGCTCATCAGTTGGATTCGCTGATTGACCTTTGTGATTCTGCCTTCATTACTATGTCGTCGGAAAATCGAAGGTATCCACGTCCTGTCTTACAGCCTTCTAAAGTTGGACAGGTTTTGTACTACTGGACTGTACTTGGATGGACATCGTAGCCTTGTCACATATACGATACGGTAGCCTAGTCACATATACGATACGGTAGCCTTGTCACATATACGATACGGTAGCCTTGTCACATATACGATACAGTAGCCTTGTCACATATCGACAGTCAATCACCGCTGAAGAGCCTGATGTACTGCCCAAATCGATCGACGATTCGATAGAATCGGCTTTCTGATAGTGCAAATACGCTGAATTCTCTCTGTCAAATATTCTGAATTCTTATTCTTCTGAATAGCTCAGAATGATCTTCTTAGTGATCGGAATTGATCAATTCAAAGAGTTTAACAATCCTTTTGACTCAAATAACATTTGAAAATTCATTTGACAGCTGGTTAGTTGACTTCTACTATGATCAGCGTTTCAACTGGGCGTAATTATCTTAATTACTAAAGTCCGGAATGGAAGTGGGGTTACTTTTTGAACGAAATCGATTAACAACCTAAATAAGCTTTAGAAAAAAAAATTAAATGTTAATGTACTAATCTTGAGAAAACCTTGCCTATTCGTTTTAATGATATTGATATAATAAAAATTTTAAGAATCTATGTAGTGACACTGAAAACGTTCACAGTGCGTTCCTTGCTTCCGTGGATATTCTAAATTATCTCTGTAATAAAATCTTGAATCAAAATTCTGAACTTTCCTATGCCGAAGAGGCTGGAATGTCTTGGCTTTAGAACCAAAAGAAATAGTTGGATTTTCCTTCGGCGCAAAGATATGACTTCATTACTTGACGATGAAAGCTTATGCAATGCTGTAGGATTCATTCGTCTAACAGCACCCAATTGTCTATCACACCAATGACCTTGTATTTTAAATGAAGATAATTAAGTAATGTTCTCAACGGACTTCTATGTCAAAAAAGTGCTCGTCACTTTTTCATTGATAAAAAACCCTAGAATTGGTGTCTTTCGCCCGAAGATTGGGTTCGATTCCCACAGCGAGCGGCGAAAGGCTTTTGGTACTTTTTTATTTTTATTTTATTTAGATTAGCACTATGAAAATTTAAAAAATTAAATTTCTAAAAAGCCACGGCGGTATCTCTAGTTCGAATTATCGTTGAATGTAATTATCGTAAAACGATATTCGAAATTGTTTATATGCTGGAAAGGATATAACAATGGATGCGCCAAGCATTGCTTCAAATGGTAAAAAATAATTTAGATAAACGACGTTGAGATTTTCGTCGGTGTTGCAATCAGCCGTTTCAAGCCGGCTAAAGCGTCAGAGCGCGAATCCAGAAGACGTGGGTTCGATTCCCACAGCGGAGAAACACTTTTCGTACTTTTTTCTACTACTTAAATTTTAAACCTTTCAAAAATTGAGCCCCGGTTATTTTTCTCAGCAGCCGAAACGCGACAGTATAAAACATCCATTTCACGTCGGTCTTCTGTGAGATCGCGATGTTTCCCCTCCTGAGCTTGCCCAGTCGTGCGACAGTAAAAGC